ACATTGCGCCGAGATATAATTGGCCTTTGATGTTTTACTTGTGTTAACTTCTTAAAACACTGATCAACAACTTCCCGAAAATATACTAATCTCAATCATAAAACTATATCATAGCGCACTTCCTTTTCTCATAGACTTATATCATTACACCTCCCTGTCTCAATCAACAGTTAACTGCTATATAAACTATAGTATAGTAGCTTGTCTAGCAAATGACGGGTCATTTTGGGACTTTTGTGTAACACAATTTATGATTTCATTTCATTTCAACAAATTTTATTCATGATGTTGTATGAATTGGATCGGACAACAGGTTAGTCCTATATCAGTTCTCTCCTGCATGTATTTGTATAAAACAGTATATATATATATTATAATTTATTGCGAAATGAAAAATTGAAAAAAAGACAAAAAGTATTTACAAAACAGATATCATATAGTAAAGGGGACATAACTCGAACTACTTATGAAAGTTCAAAGGTCAAGCTGTGCTACTTCTTGACCTCACCAGAGTAATGAGTGAGTTTTAGACAAATCCTTTACTAGATCCTCCCTATGAGTTCAAAATCCACACAAAGTGACTCATAAATAGTTGAATATTAGGCTTATATACATTACATATTATGAATTAGCTATGTAAATAGTGTATGGTATATTAATATTCACATTATAATACGTTAGGAATATAATTATACAACTTGTTATTAGTTACATCCACAAGTCCATGTTGATTTAAGGGGTGAGTATATCATATTCACACTGTGTTTATAGTAAGTGCTTTATGATATTGATAACAATCAGCATGTTTGATGTTCATGTTTAAAATATTAGTACATTATGATATAAGTTGATACAGTGTATAGAAAGTTATATACATCTTCTTGAGTTCACGATAAAGGATGAGACACTCTCTAGGATATTTTTATTAATTTCATTGTAACATTGGTTTCAACCATTTAGTTAGGTATGTAGAGTCTAGTGCGAGTGATAATCATTGAATAGAGTAGTAGAGAGTAATTGTCTGTGATTGTTGTATCTGGCACAGTCAAAGAAGTAATGATAACTTGTTTCCTGTATATAACCACACTCACATAAAGCAGATTATAATAGATGATCATTAAAGTAATCAAAGTATATGTTGCTAGCATTATTTCTAATTTGACACAGTAAAATATTGATATTTCTATCACCAGAGGTTTTTTTAACACTGTCTGAGTACCATTATTAGGTATACTATTAGTTATGTTAATTAGTTTCTTAAACTGGGTAAGAGATTGAGATATCTGGGTCTAACTGATTGTAAAGTCGAAAGGTTGAGGAAAAAAAACTATTAAAGTAGCTCTTAGTTCTAAATACCGGGGGTTAAAAATTCTATTTAGTCTTAGCTGATACCTCACATTTGTTAAATCATTTAAAAACGTATCAACTATATCATTAAGGTATTTTAGTGATGTATTATGCAATATTTTATACATTAAAATTAATTTATGTTTTCCCTCCTAGTAGCTAAGGTTTACCATCCCAATTTTTTGTACATTTTATGGTGTGATGTACCTCCACGAAGCCCTGTCAGTACTCTAGCAGCATCTAGTTGGACTGATTCTAATAATAATTTTGATTATTACATTCGCATATTCTAAAATTGGTCTAACACAATTTATGATGCAAACCAGACCAATTTATGATGGAGGGTGCCTGCCCGGCCGACACCCATTGGTCTGGCTTGGTGCCCAATTTTGATATCGGAACAACAATTGTTCTACTACAGGGGTAGTACAGTTTTCCCGAATTTATCTATATACGGTCTTTTGTATTTTCTGCAAAATTATCAGTCGTAGAAATTTATGCAATTGTAAAAAGGTGCAAATCGGTGCGAATATGTGCGTTTAATTTAAATAAAAGATGATATTTCTTTTAAAATCTGTTATAACGATAAACAAAATAGCTGTATAAACTTGTTTACATATAGTAGCATGTAGGAATTCAGCCCGGCTGGCGTTCACGGATTTGTCTCGGTGCCAACTTCCGTTATCTCAGCAACAAATAATTTCTCAACAGTATAATTTCGTTTTGCGTTTTTTTGTGATTGTGCTTTGGTTGGTGCACTAATTTGTAAGTTGTTTGCAGAGGCAAAATGGTTCTAGATCAGATTAGTTTTCACAGAATAAAAGCATATATATTAATCAATACAATTTTGAGGAATTCTCTGGAGCTGCCTTATCTGGCGCTAACATCTAGTCCTATGCCAACTGTCTATTATCTCCCTATGTGTGTATGCCTGCGTGCGTGTTGGAGAATTAATGTGTTCTGTTTGGTGTGGGATCTCGCTTCCAACGGCATCATTTATAGTGCCACCTCCCTTGAAAGCTACAGCACAGATATCGCAATATACACCCCAGACTAATTTAAACTCCACCTGGGTTTTTGGAGTTGTGAGTGCAGGGGAAAATACACTTTCTCTGAGTATCCATGCGTACGACGACTTTTGGGAACAAACCCTGGCCGCCTGCGTGGAAGTCCGGAGTGTTAACCACTCGACCCATCCGCCCGTACTTACCTTACTGTGTTTGTGTGTTTAACATGTCCCTATGATTGAACTATATAATCTTGTCGATCAATTCAAGTTTGTCCAACGGTAATTATACATAGACGTACATAAAATGTGTCTACATCGCTTAAACATCTACAGTACTGAAGAATATATCACTTGATGGTTTGATAATTTTTTACTTGCAAAGGTTTCTCATTGTAAGAGTGAGGAGTATACACCTTTTTATGGAGAGTGTCCTCATAATACAACTGGACCTTGTCTTTTGGTAAGAGTCAGAAAGCAAAACCATTCTTTTAGGAAAGTCTCACAAAATACTTCATAATAATATGCCCCTGTAAGAGTAGTAAATCGCTACCATTTCTATGTGGAACCTCCTCATTATACTGCTGAACATTGTCTCATTGTAAGAGTAAGGAATCAAAACCTCAATCGGGAGACTCCTCATAATACTACTAAATATTGTTTAATTGACATTGTAAGATTGAGGAATTCAAACCTTGATCGGGAGACTCCTTATAAAATTTCTTAATAATGTCTCATTGTTAGAATGAGGAATCAAAACTTAAATCGGGAGACTCCTCATAATACTGCTGAAAATTGCCTCATTGTTAGATTAAGGAGATGCAACCTTAATATCGAGTTTTCATATTATTTCTAAAAAACGTCTCACTTTAGAGTTTGAAACATAAACCTTAATTAGGAGACTCCTTATAAAACGTCTTATCGATGATGTCTCATAGTAAAAGTGATATATCTTAACACATTTTATGAGTTGCCTCATAGCGATGCTTATTTAAGTCTTACTGGAAACATGAAACAAAGATTTTTTTTGTGAAGTCTCTTTATAATACTACTGAATAATATCTTACAGTAAGGGCGAGGAACCGAATGCTTTCGTCTCATTATACTGCTGAGAAATGTCTCATTGTCAGTATTGAATCTAAACCTTTTTATCTCTTTGATCCGATGATATTATTCAGTGAAAAGTTACATGTTATATAAGTGTGATGTTATTAATTAATTCATGTTATACAACCTTTTTGACGCCAGCAAATAAGATATGAATGACGTCACACACTTCAAGATTGTAAGCAGAATAATCAAAGATACCGCATTTAATTCATTATTTTAAGAAGAATGTTCATGTAGACTAGGGAATACCATCTCCCTATACTTTTCCTGATACAGTAGATGTTGATATTTTGAAGAAAAAAACAAAGAACCGAAGGATATAGTGTCATGATATTTGACTTACAATTTTGCATCTTCGTGGGAAGGAGCCTGACAATGTTTCAGAGTAAATATGATCTTCACCTACTCTGAAGTTAATAAGAATTAAGACTTATGTTGTCTTTTAAGGTCATAGGTGTTAAATTTGACAAAGATTTAAACGATTTCTCCAGAGGATCCAATAGGCCAAGAGTCACGATATTTTTCTTGTCTTGATTCCTAACGAATAGAGTGGGATATAGTCATATTGATACGTCTGGTCTTTTGTCTCAGCTAATGATAGGCCGTAATGGAGTCTTAGATCAGCATAGAGTAATTCATATTGATATTTTAACTTTTGGGAGATCTGAAATTTTGATTGTTTTAAGCGTGGCGCGCCATCAATCGCCCATCCGGAGTCAACCTTTCCCTTTAAACAACTTCTTCTCAATGACTCAATGATGAAATTTTGCCAGAAACATGCTTGATGGAGATACAGATGTCTCATGTGTCTTATGTGTTACATTCGTCTAGAACATTCTTCTCAATAACCAAGTCAATCTCAATTTGTAAACGACTCATATGGGACCAATTCTAAGGTCAAACGAGCCAAATTCTACAGAATGTTCAAACATCTTCTTATTTAATTATCAGGAACCTAAGATGTTCGTAATTTGACTATTAGCATGCCTTGATAAAGGGCTACCATTTTGCTGAAATCAATTACTTGACATAGCTCTCGTGGTCACAGAGGTCAATGTATTAAAATATTGTATTACGTTTCTCTACAGAACCAAGAACAATGTACTTGATAGTGTTTCACCTGAAGTGTCATTTAATCAGTTTAAACATATTTGATTTTGGGACCTCTTTTATGGTAACTGGTATACGATGATACACAAAGTGAGGTATACGGGCTCGTTTGGTTTCTTGTCTACTCTCCGCAAGGCGTCACTATGAAAATACAAATTGGACTGAGTTCCTTGCCGTAGAATATCTTTTCTCTGCCAGCCTTCGCTTAAAAAATACAAAACGTAGTATAAAGGAGTGCAGCTTTTCGACGAGAAATGATATAGTAGTAAGTAATTCAGTGTACATTATGACTTTCTATGATGTGACCAAATAAAATGATAAAATGACGTCAACGTTTTGTCACACCTGAGTGATTTAAGCAGGTATGCTTTTAATGCATCTGCCACTGAATTAGCGTTTCAATAAGAGACAACAAGGAAATCGCAAACTGTATATAACCCATTTTAATAAGCATGGTAAGCACTTAAGCAAACTTGAAATTAGTACAAAAGAAATAAAATGAGTACGTAATACTCTATCCGAATTTAGAATAGGTCCAAACGTCGAGTCTATTGTTCGGAGTATCGCTCACACGATCTCCCCTTTTCTGGGAGAAAATTAAAAAAATCCAAATGAAGCACCCTCAAATATGTGGGGTTTAAAAAACCAGCGTATATGCAATACAATCGTCATTGTCAAAGAAGACAAGCTTGAGAAAAGGTTTTAGATCCTACTTATACTGCTGCTCCACAAACGGTCAGCTAAAGCTACATACTTCGTATATCCTTAGTGTAATTTGGGGTTCAGCGGTTTTATAATACTGCATCTATTATATTCCAAATTATCACAAACTGTCGAAAAATAACCAGTAGTCCAGGAAACTTAATTTTTGTTAATTTGTTAGTCTTGGATTAATTGCATTTATCCAAAGCAGATTCCACTTCACACGTCTCAAAATTTTGTTTGCATGTTGAAGGTATGCAATCATGTTGATTAATGCAATTTCGATGACTTTTTGCACTTTAACATTTGTCACTAATATACGTCAACGAAACAGCGCTGTTTTATATTATCTTTTTGGAAAATAACACTGTGCTCTCCGCTTCGTCTCTGCGATAAAACACCGTATGTAAAATATATGTTTTTCCCATTTGGATCGCGAAAAAGCGAAGAAATTCTGGTTTGTCGCTGCAACAGAGCGTCATTTTAATGTTGTGTTTTTAACATTTAGCATTCACAAAAGGTCCAATGAAAGCATGGTAAATTTAAAACAAACTGGAAAACCATCCAACTACTGACTTTCCAACAGATAACACCGCTGACCCTGCAACATCTAATAATTTGCCGAAGACATTCTTATCTTCACGTTCGTATTCTTTTCGGACGTTGTTACGCATGTTTTCAGTGTCCTCTCGGTGTTTTCGTTCCATTTCCTCTAATTCGAGTTTTTTCTTACGTTCGAATTTGGCAATTTCAATTTCCCTTTCTTCTATTTCTTTTCTTTTTGCTTCCATTTCCTTTTCCATAATCTCTTTTTTTCGAAGGGTTTCTTCAAGTTCCATGGATGTTTCATAATTGTTTGTTTCCACCGTTAGATTTTTCAGATCCTGTGTATGAATTTCCAGTCTTGTGGCTTCTATTTCTCTTTTCTGTGCTTCAATTGTTTTTTTTTGGGCTTCCATTTCTTTCTCTATCTTCTTCTGTTGCAGCGCTATCTTCTCTTCTCCCTGAAGTTTGATCTCCTTTGCTCTTCGCTGAAATTCTAGTTCTGATCTCTCAAAAACATCATTCGAGAAGTAAGATTTTCCTGTTTCATTAATGATAGTTTGTACCATACTCATCAGTTCGCGTACGTCAAAGTCAGTTTTCTTACCTCTAGGAGAGTTATCAAACGCTAAATATTTGTGACCACATCTCCGTAGAATAATTTTCAGTTCCTCTGGAACCTCGTTGACATACTCTTGAATAGTCACACCGTCGTTTTCTAAATCATCTCTTCGTGTAAATAGTACAATCAGGTACCTGAAGAATTCTTCACCAAAGATTTGGCTGAAGTGGGTGATTGTGTCCTGCTCTTCTGGTGTGATGCGCCCAACTTGTACAACAAGAATAAAGGCGTGTGGTCCGGGAGTGAGAATTGCTATGCATTTAATGATTTCTTTTGCGACAACGTCGTTGGATAATGACGTGTCAAACAGTCCCGGAGTGTCCACTACTACCAACGTCTTGCCAAAGCGCTCTGCTGTATGGAATTCACATCTCTTTGTCACTGACGACCCGGACAGTTTAGACTTAAAGGCTTTCTTACCAAGAATGCTGTTTGCGGTTGCACTTTTACCATTCCCTGTTCGTCCTATCAAAGCTATCCGGTACTCGTGTTCTACTCCGTATGAAGTATTTCGATCTATAGCAAAACAAATACAAGAAACATAAGTGTGTGGAACGTGGGAACAGTGACAAATAGGTTAAACTTGTACAGTTATATCAGCTCCAAGTATTATTGCCTGTATTGTGAGACAACTAAAATTACTACGACAGAATATTGTAAATGCATCAGAAAATGTAATTGAAGTTTCAATGACAGAATATTAAAATACTATGTCTTATCACAATTCATTAAATTATGATATTTCCTTGATGACTCGATTTGACTTTTATCCATATAGATTATCAGTTATAACATTGAGGACCTCTCTCTGTTCCTGTCCTTTTCTTCCTGTCCTTTTCTTCCTGTATGTCTCTCTCTATACATGTATCTCTCTCTCTCTCTCTCTCTCTCTCTCTCTCTCTCTCTCTCTCTCTCTCTCTCTCTCAATTCGAATTCTGTTAACCTTTTAAATAAAATACATACCACTCACAGCCATATTTTTCGTGTCCTTTGTTGTCTACAAACAAAGGGAGATAATTAGATATTATATTAGGCAAGTATGTTATTTAAAATAGACAGATAACTTAGAGTATTCACATGTTGTAAAGTCTGCACAATCAATATTATTTCTTTTCTTATACCTCTGTAAATCTATCCAATTAATGCATGACTACCAACTAATTTATATTATTGAAATAAAATAATAAAACTGTCTGTGATTTTGTGCTTAAATTGTATATACAATATGCATGTACCTTTATTTTCTACTTAGTTAGCAGAGACTTACAACCTATGAAATACTGGAGGAAAATATTATCTGATTTTTGTAAAGTTGTAACAATTTGATGTTGGTTCCTTAACTACTTTTCTTAAGCAATGTTATATATCAGATAAAATGACACTATAGCATAATAGGCATAGAAAAAGATAAAAAAAAAAAACAAGTGCTGAATTATATACCAATGTTATTTAAAACTTAAATAAAACAGTTGATTTTCATTTTTATTAAACATTTAAGGCAAGGATAGATATGAAAATGTCCATGCGTGTTTAAATGGAGAAATAACTCAGGTATTTCAGGTTTAGGAAAAAAATAAAACTAATTGGAAAAACGTGTCATATTGATTGATTCCTGAGAGAATACATGTATATTCTTTTACACAAAAACAAAATGTTGATCTTATTCCAAGTATCCAGTCAGGGCCTAAACTAGGATTTTTTTACGACCTATACTATATTTTCATTTTAAACGCCTTAATTTCTATTCGGCCCTCACTAGTGGAAAGAGTGTCTATGAAAATGCTTATGAGAAACAATATCAGTTGGATATGTTAAACGTTCTTTTGATTTGTATTCCTTTAACAAATCGTGTGTTAGGAAAAAGGTTAATCTGTAATGTCAAGCTAAAACAATGCAAACAGGGTATTTTTTTGTTGTTTTTTTATTATTTATTTGAACTATCAAGAACGGTATTGTTTTGCATGAATCAGTGCTAACTGCCTTCAAACATTAACATCTGGTAAAAAATTGTAGTATACATTAAACTGCTATATATACAGCGGGACTACAATCTGTCTTTAAATTATCATAAAACAGGAAAGCCTTATTAAAGTACCAGTACAATGAACAAACAAAACAATAAATATTTATTCTGAAAAACATAACTTCACGTTACATTATGTAACGATGAATCTTCAAAAATACACCATTTTATTAGAACTTGCAATTGTGTATAGCCCGATGTTCAATCTGCATGTGATCGGATTTACGGAGTTCAAACGGTTAAAGAAGATTTTCTCAAAACTAGCTTAAATTATATTCTAGAATACATGAAAACTATCAAAAAAGAGAAGAGAAGATACCTTTTATATTTTCTAAAACAAATCTTCAACTTAAACAACACCTTATCACGCCAAGCGAACTAAAAAGCGAGGGACAAAACTAAATTTAGCAATGCACTTCTTTCTGTATGCTGTAAGAAAAATTTATATTTTAGCAGTAATTTATAGCAATCTGAAATATGTCACATAGCGCTAAATTAAGTGTTATTTATCATATACTTAATATATATTAATGGCTGATCAATAAATCTCTAATCTGGGAAGAAGTCTAATAAGAAAAAATACTTCGTCACAAATTATTGTTATACACTTTAAAAATGTATATATATCATTGTCAAAATCGACATGAAAACTTTTGTAACTTGGATATAACAAATTGATATACACAAGTAAATAAAACTTACCAAGGCAGCACACAGCTTTTCTGTAACTGCTGGGATATCTCCGAGTAACCAGCTGCAGGTCAACGTCACACCGGGTCGTCTGTATGCACTCTCGAATGTATTCAGATTGTCCGCTTTTTATAAACGACATCCCAGTGATCAAGTGGGTTTTCCCGGTAGTCTCACATTTCACTTCAGAGAAATTTCTTACAGGATGATTTTCATGATTTTTTGTAAACACTCGAACGCTTTTTAAAATATATGGCAACTAAATTCAGTATTTTTCATGCATTTAGGAATTTTGATATTTATCTTCTTTTATATATTTGCTATCTTATTGAACAAAAATGAATAGATTTTGTTGGTTTATGCATCATATTAACAGCTAAGCTCGTTTAAGGACGTGCGTTGTTTATGATATGTATGCATGTGTGCTGAGGACGGCGGTATATTTAAACCCTAAAAACCAGGCTACAGTTGAGTGCAGACGTAGACCCCAGTGCAAAGGTAGATTACAGTTGGTTGCAAGGAATACCTTTGCAGATCCATGAATGATTCGTTCTGACTTGGTAAGGTTCAATGACTTGAAGATATCAAAAGGAAATCACGTTTTCTTACATGCTGTGTCTACCTTGGTTACATTTTGTTATTAAATCTGGAAAATCCGTTATAACTGGAGGAATAACGAATCCTTCCTGGTATTCAGGTCTGCTATATATTCTAGCAAAAAGTTTTAAAACGTATTATAGTTCACGTTCCATATAGCAGTGGGTGGTCTGGTGGCGCAGTGGACAGCACACTTACCTTTCACCAAGGCGGCTGGGGTTTGATTTCCCAATCAAACGTAAAAAGGTATCGGGTCACCTGCCCAACCATGTAGGTTTTATCCGGTACTCCGGTTTCCTCCCACATCAAGACTAAATAATTATGATTAATATAAGTTTGAAATCAAATAAAAAAGGTGTATCTATACATTCCATAGCCTGAATAGGTTTCAGGTCTCCATAAACATTTGCTGAACGGGCAAGATTTGCTAATTCCGTGGCACATCGTCTATCATAAGTCAACCTTACATTTTAATCGATTCCATGCCAAACACGTTTATGGAATTTTGACTTGATATGGCATGAAATATCCCCGAGAAAAGGTGATTAATTGATATATATACGGCATGCGTAGTCCCTCATTGACCTAAGGAAGCATAATGGAACTTGAGTTATTTTTAATGATCTCTTATTCAGAACTGGAAAAGACTTGAGCCTGATTCGGCATTGAAATCGTAATATTCCGATAAAATGGCGATTGAAAAAAGGCTTTTCGTCTTTTCATTTTCCATTTATTGGGTTGTGTGGTACGGTACCTGAGCAGGCCCGGGGCGAAAATAGACCTGTTGTATTCCACAGCATGTTGTAAGTTTCGACTTATCTGGACCCCTTTGAAATCGTTTTATTTTCTTCGGTGTTTTCTTTCCAGAAACCATCCAAGAACAAATAATAATGATAAACTATATTTTCTGAGAGGATAAAACATGTTTATCAAAGCGTATATTCCACAGGTTCCTCTTAGTAAAATATCAGTTAGTAAAATAACATAGCACAATGTCCGGGTCGTCTGTATGCACTCTGGAATGTATTAAGATTGTCTGCTTTTATAGACGACATTCCAGTGTTCAAGTGGGTTTTCCCGGTAGTCTCACATTTCACTTCAGAGAAATTCTTACAGGATGAATGTCTTTATTTGTTCCAAATAAACTAAACTAAACTCAGTATTTTTCATGTATTGAGGAATTTCGATATTCAACTTCTATTATATATTTGCTATCTCATTTAATAAAAATGAATAGCTTTTGTTGGTTTATGCATCATATTAACAGCTAAGCTCGTTTAAGGACGTGCGATGAGTATGATATGTATGCATGTGTATTGTGGGCGGCGGTATATTTAAACCCTAAAAACCAGGCTACAGTTGAGTGTAGACGTAAACCCCAGTGCGACGGTAGACTACAGTTGGTTGTTAGGAATACCTTTGAAAACCCACGAATGATAAGTGCTTGCATATTAAACAATTATAATTATGATAAAGATGCCGGTAGTCAGTACAATAATGATCACAATTACTATGCTAAAAAGATAGGGAGTAAAGAGTTAACAGTAAAGAGTTAACAGTTAAAAGTAACCAGTTAACAGTATACAGTAAACAGTGTCAAATGTCCCTTCATTGCAACACTAGCAATCAGCATCTAATTTTGTTTCTCCTGTCGGTAGTGTCTCCATTGGCACGTTAAATCTCCGACAAACAACCAGACATTGTTCGAAAATATTATAACAATTGTCAAGAAAGAATGAGCACATAGATTGTGGGTTAATACTTATTGTATTCCAAGTATCTTGTTATTTTTTTACCAGATTTACAGGATGCGATGAAGAGCATTTTGTGTATGTCGGTGTGATCAGGAATACTTGCCAGTATCAATTGATTTTGAGCGAGCAAGGCTACGGAGGTGTAGTAAACACCGTATTGACACAATCATTCCCTTGGTGTTGACACAGATTTAGCACAGATATATATATATGTATCATGGTTGTCGGGTGGCGCAGTGGATAGAGCACTTGCCTTTCACTAAGGTGGCCGGGGTTCGATTCCCCGATCGGACGTGATAGGTATGGGTCACCTGCCCGACTTAGTAGGTTTTCTCCGGGTGCTCCGGTTTCCTCCCACATTATGACCCCCTGCGCGCTAAAATGCGGGCCAACAAAAGAGTGATTTATATAAGTTGAAAAAACTGGCTTTTTTTTTTAGAATTTCCCGTTGCTGCCGCGGGAAACACAGAGTAAAGCAGTTAAGCATATCGAATAATGACAAGATAATGAAGATGCCAATGGTTTATTATCTTTAGTAGTCGTTTATCATCATTGGATTTGATTACATACAAAATGTACGATATTGTAGATGGATCACAAACGTTACAACAAAACGTTAATATATGTGTATATGTGCCGGAGACAGGGTATATGGGTCTACTTGCCTGCTTCTAATGGCGCTGATCTGATGCCGACTTTCAAGTGCTATCTCACTGAAATATCATGCCGAAGGCATCCAGCATAGCATTCCACCCAGCTACATTAAACTAACAGCAGCTGAAACAGTTGCCTTGACCCTAAATGCTGAACGCTCAGCAGGAGATAACAGCTATCAGTTTTAAGGACTTTGGTATGTCCCCCCTTAGGGACAGAACTCGTTGCCTTTCTTACAGGGGCGAACGTTTAGCATTAAAATCTAAAGTGAAGTGTTGATAAGTAAGGCGCTAGCCAGTAGGAGAGCTCCAATGGATTCTTCGAAATGTCATATTAATTGATGCATTGATATCTAAATTGCTTATTTATGTACTATAAAGCGCCTTAAACTTATTGTGGCTAAAGATGCATGTTTTAGATAGATATGATTATTTATCAAATGCTGTTTGATTATTACTTTTTTATGGTTTGAAAGGTATTATTTTATTTATGATTTTTGTACATTTCATATGCAAGATAACTCTCCCTTGTTGTTAAAGCATGAATATTAATTGTAGTATGTTGGCAAACCACAATTGCTTATGCTTGAAATACTCATTAATATTTACATATAGACGCTCAAATTACAATATTTTGATATTGCGAAAAGTGAACAGTTGTCAGCCGTGATTATGTACGATCTTGTGACAGTTTGCATCGTAGACTAAGTGTCGACAATATGCACTCTAAAGCGGGATGTATTTGTCCGCCTGTGCACGCTTGTGCGACCACAATCATGAGAGTTGTGAAGTATTATTGCGACCCCTCTTGACCTCGATTGTACATGTTAATTACAAGACTGTAGTATCGAATAGATCGTTTTAACCCTGTGCATGTCCAAAAAGGGATTAGACTTGCTGTACTTAACTGCATGTTGTAAAGGGCGACTTATTTGCCCCTTCCCCGATCTATTCACTCATAGTGATGTTGTTATATATGTATTGTATTAATTGAATTACTCTCTGCTTTGAGGGGGGGCGACCTCTGGGATTATATGGAGAATTCCAAATGTTTTATTTAAGTGTGGGCGATGAGAAAATCGATCGAACACACAATCCACTGGACACTGATAAGTGCTATTAATCTGTATGATACTACCTATATAGTTAACAAATCACAAACAAAGGACAATATAGCATGTCCTCGTCATCGACAAATGGAAATAAATGCACAATAACTTTCACAATATTTGCCTGTTTTTTATCATAATTTTCGAAGTAATCTGTCAATTGTATGCCTTATCTTTTAATTTCGTTTAGGTATACAATTTCTTTTGATACGAAAGAAAAAAAAAATGGCAAGTAGGGTTGTTACTTGTATGTATCACTTGATATTATAAACAGAAGGTTTTTGTAGAGAGAGAAAGACAGAGAGACAAAGAGACAAAGACAAATACAAAGAGAGACAGGGACAGAGAAAGAGACAGTTAGAGAGACAGGGAGACAGAAAGAGAGCGACAGAGAGAGGCAGACAGAGACAGAGAGACAGAGTGAGGGAGGAAGGAGGGACGGAGGGACGGACAGACGGACGGAGGGACGGACGGACGGACGGGCGGACGGACGGACGGACGGACTGACAGACAGACAGACAGACAGACAGACAGACAGACAGACAGACAGACAGACAGACAGACAGAGAAAGACAGAGACAGAGAAAGACAGAGACAGAGAAAGACAGAGAGAGAAAGACAGAGAGAGACACATAGAAAGATCTTCAATGTTGTAACTGATTATGAATATGCGTATTAAAATCAAATAATGCAAATATATTGATAAGTAAAAGCTTAACGTAAATGACAAATAGAGCATCAACAGATTTAACAATCAATCGATAAAACTGATAAGACTTAAATAGTATACCTTTCAAGGGACAAAGTGCTAGTTTTGGATATTAGTTCTAATAAATTATCTTTTTCACAATCAATCAACTTGTGGCTAACGCTTAATTACTATAATGTTTACCTCGATTCATCTGTACTATCTTTCAACACGAGTATGTTCCGTATCATATATTTATTGTTGTAGATCATGGTACTTACTATGGGTCAGAACACGAGGAC